TGGAATCGCCTTCTCCCTCTAAATTTAGTTTTTCTGCGCATAATAGTAGTTGATTGTACGGAAATTTTCATGTAAGCCACTTAAAAGGCTGGAGGAACTTTTCACATTCGTATTATAACTGTTCATAAAGACTTTTACTCCTTCTTGAAAGTTTTCCGGGTCATCCCTCAAATTTTTTTGGATATCGGATGTAAATTTCGTTGCAAATAGTTTCCACTCATTTATAAGAGCACTGGTATTTACTTCCTCTATAGGGTTGTCATTTCAAAATCATTATCGCAATCTGTATCTAATGAAGAGGTTGTGATGGGTCTTTCTAACAAATAGTATTTTTGTTGAACAGGTAGTGCTGGATTCCGGTTCCTTTACTAAAAGCAGTGGTTTTAAGAACTAGTTAGGAGGGTTCGTGCCAGTAGCTATCTTATATAAAATTATTTTTTGGTCTTGACACAAGATATTACATGCCGATGTTATGTTGTATTTTTTTATAACACCTGATTGATGTTTGCATATCTTCCCTGTATAGCCTTCGAGGCAAGAACAAGTAAAACTTTTCATATCAACATAATGTTCGATAGAGCTTGAGGAACTTAGGATTGAATATTGATTTAACATCCTTATCGTTTACTGTATATTTCCTAATATCTACTTTGTTGGTAACCATATCCAATAATCTTTATTTATAATAGGCGTTAAAATTTGTTGTAATAAAATCTACCAATTGGACAAGGTTATAGGCTTTTGTTCTTTCTAACGGTATATCTTTAAAAAGCCTAAAAAATGATTTTTAACGAACATTTTTGCGATCACGGATGTTAGTTACCCAAGCCATTTGCCATATCGTCTGCTATTTACCAGATATGTTCGGTCGAAAGCCGACTGGCGATCCTGGGTGTTGTATACAAATATGCGTACGGCACAAGACGAGAGGAGGAATAGTTTAACAGTTTTTTGTTTGAGGACCTTTTTTTTTCTAGAAAATTCAATTGGAGTAGAGGAGGAAAATACATTTTTTTGTTTGAGGATTTTTTTTTTTTTAGAAAATTCAATTCAAGTAGAAGAGAAAAAGTTTTTGTTTGAAGAGCTTTTTTTTGTCACGGGGCACGATCTAGAAAATTGTCCTGGGGACCGGCCTTGCTCTCCGCGGCCCTGGTTGTCGGCCATTTAAAAAATCTATAATATAATATCGAACAATATCGATACCTCTACCACAAAGTATCTCACATGATACCGGTATCGATACTTTCGACCGATACTCATAACCCTACTCCCTAGACAAATGCACATAAATAAAAAACTGCCAATTTTGCAGATAGAACCTTTCTTGCTAGTACGGCAGTATAGATGTGCTCATATAGTTCACTAATAACATGTTAATCTGTTAGGTACGTTTCAGTAAATTAAGTATTACCATTGCTGGACAGTACGAGTAGTGGCGTTTTGGTGGATAAATACAGCATTTCATTGAACATATACCTATGCTGTTTTGCTGTATGTTTGCTGCACAATATCAAATGCTGGACAACTTTAAAAATGGTGTACAATACAGTAAAAAAACAGACGGTATTGAATCCCGACTAGTCTCAATCAGACGTCAAAATTGAATTAAAATAAAATGAGTGTTTGGTCGCAAAAAAAATTAACTTGACTATTTAGTCGGTAATTAAACTAAAACATAATTTTCCATTTTGGTAAGGAAAAATTCTAAGAGCGGTCGTAGTAAAAATTAACTATTAAACTGTCGTATCGGGAATTAAACTCAAATGTACTTTACTATTTCGGTAAGGAAAAATTATCTGTATGGTCGCAGAGAGTGCGAGGAGACAGGGTCGTGAAAGAATTACTTGTAGTAAATATTCGAAAAGGGAAAAAAATTAATTTATACCCGGGGTAGCCTATTATCCCCGAATGAGCTGATCGTCATCACGAGCCCGCTCAGACAGGGACAGGATACTATTTAAGGTTATTAAAATTGACGGTGAAAGAGAAAACAAAACTATTATCAGAGGGAAGAAAACTACTAACCGGATAGTACCTACTAAAATTGCAGCCTATTAACGTAGATGGGATGTTTTGGTGCTAGCTGAAAACGTGTTATCTATGAATCATGTACACCGTTAGCCGAGTGTAGATCACTCGCGGCGTTCGTTTTAATTGATTTGTTTTATATTAATTAACAAAAGTTAATTCTTATAAGACATAAAAATATGGTTGATGTTTTGTTATGATCTTAACACATTTTAAAAACTTTTATAAAGAGTAACTTTTTTTTGTTTTAAAATCTTGTTTAGCTATTTTCGTAGTGTTAACATAAAAAGTACAACATTTTTTGCAATTTTTTTCTTAGAGTAAAACCGATGAAATCGCATTTTTAATTTTTTTTGGGCCGTAAGCCCCAATGGTTTTTTAAATTAAAGGGAAGTAAAAGGCTCAAAGTCTGTCGACCACATAAATTTATTAGGTTGGGTTGCAAGCGCTTTCGATCTAAAATGTCATCATCAGGCAAAAAATTTTTTTGTAAGTAGTAGGTAGGTACAATCACTATGTGTCCACAGAAAAAATTAAGTATGTTGAATTAAAAATTTTTAAATTGTAAAAATTGTTATAAAAAATTATAAAAATTGGCACGTACTGCCTCCCTCATTCAACATACTTAATTTTTTCTGTGGACACATAGTGATTGTACCTACCTACTCACTTACACTTCCCTTTAATCTACTTCGGACCACTTTGAGATATGGATAATATTTGGTTTTTTAAATGTTTAGAATAATACATTTACCCAGTGTTGCCAACCGTAGGATTTTAATTGTATTTATAGGATTTTGTAACTCTCTGTACGATGTACAATCGCATCAGTGAGATCGTACATAAAAATACGATCTTTCCTTTTTCAGTAGGTTTAGTTAAATATCTACAACAACTAAATTAATTTTAAAAATAAAAAAATTAAAATGGTGATTTTGTACCAACACCGGCTATCATGGCACAACAAACGCTTTTAAGCAAATTTTCAATCACAGTAATTGATTAGTTTAAATATGTTAATTTAAAGTTTTCTGTATTTTCTTTAGTTTTTTCTTGTTTTAAAAAAATATTATAAATAGATAAATAAAGTTGTTTTTTATTTTTTACTCCATTTAAGTTATATTATGCTATACATGTATCTATTGCACGATTTTTTGTCGATAAATTGGCTAATATACCATTTCCTATCTGTATACAGATATAAGGAAAGTATAGGAATCATGATTTTTTTTTACCTCGAATTTTCGACGGATTTTTACGTTTTGAGGTCCCCTGAATCCGTTTTGACTATTTTCGTGATGGTAAATCGTATCCAGAGTTATTGAGAGAAGTAATTACACCTGTAACAACAATAACAAAAAATGATCATAACCTCTCTAGATATTTGCTTGTCTTGCCTATACAACAATTTTTAAATGAAACTTTCCCCGCTCATTGGAAATGTAGAAGAGGTTCGATGATGGAGTGGCCACCTAGATCACTGGATTTAACATCCCTAGACTTCTTTTTATGGGGTTATTTAAAAACAAAAATGTATGCTACCCAACCGGAATCCTTAGAAGATTTATGACAAAAAATAAAGTATGAATTCAAAAATTTAAATGCAGACGTGTTCGACAATGTTAGAGAAGCCTTTCATACTAGATTATACCATTGTATGGAAGTAAATGATGGTCATTTAAAAAAAAAATTATAATGAGTTTTAAAAATGATATATATTCGTTTTATCATTGAAAACGCTTATAATAAAATCATTAAAATAAAAGTCTTGCATAATTCAGTTTTAGTTTAATTTAAAATTCTGTAGATCATAAAGTAATTACTTTAAACCCACTGTTTTATACATTTTTTAAATCAGATAAACAAGAGGAATCCAAAAATGGATAAACAAATGGGGCAAGATATTTAATAAAAAAATTGAAGCAGGGGTGAAACGGTGACTTTTTCAGCAAACCCAAATATGGCACAACATCTCCATCTTTTATGTCTGTGGCAAATGGGTTAAACCCGATACTAGTCAATCATTGCACATACACACACACACACACACACACACACACACACACACACACACACACACACACACACACACACACACGCACACACACACACACACACACACACGCACGCACGCACGCACCCCCACACACACACACACACACACACACACATACACACACACACATACACACACACACATACACATCTCCATCTTCGAATATTAATTGACGTATTTTTTTATTTTTATAACAATCTGTCCTTCAAAAGTTACTTAAGGTGGATACTTTTATCTTAAAAGCACTGTATAGGACAAATAAAATACAATATCATTTTACATAAAGAATAAATATTAAATCTAATAGATACATAACCTTATTTATGTAACTTAAATAAAAATATTTAAAAAATATTAACACAAATAGAGATACAAGAAAATAAATATTTTTTAGAAATTTGACACACCGAGCTCAAAAAGTTAAACACCCTGTATAACAATGCTTCTTGACACTCGATGTATATTTTTCTAATATAGCAAAGCAAACGCTTTACTAAACAAGTTTCTGTCATTTTTATTCTATTGCGGCATTTTTTGTTTTTTTTTTTTATTTTAAATTTTTTTGATACAACAAAGACTAATAAAATGAATAAGATTATTGAAATTACTTTTTGTACTCTGCAGATGCCAAGTTTAACACTTTTCATTCATTAAGAGTGGTCAGCACTTTAAGAGAGTGGGTCATCAAACAAATTAATAACTCCCTTGCTGCATAAGGTTGACACTTGACGCCACCGCCTTAAGGTATACAAACTGAATATTTCGTAATCATGTTTGCATTTTTAATAATTTTTTATTAACGTAATAACCTATATAGGTCAGTCATCATTGTGATAAAAAAAAATAATAATTTATAAAATATCTCTAATTTTCACAGAACATTTTTCACATTTTAATTAAACTGAACTGCAATTACCATAACACTTATTCCAATATCACTAATCCACCGGGAAAAAAATAGTCATAAATAGCACAATAATCAAAAATTCGTTTTCATTTCGAAAAAACACAACCCTCCCCAATGGAGGCCTATATTTGACTGGTACATTAAGTGTGTAAAATGTTTTAATAGCAACAATTGGACAATATTGGAGTGAATTGCATTAAAGAATCTGGTCTGGTTAAACTAATATACTAATGGCTGCACTAATAGTCATTGTCGCTAATAGGGAAAAATTGGGTAAATTGATAAATTCACTTACGGGTGATTGAGGCAAATGCGTGCGCCTGCCTTTTAAGATTCGTTAACTTCATCATCATATTGTTTATGAATAGCTTAATTGACATATTATATCTGTTAATTCTTTTAATTTGTTCAGTTACGGGTGCGCTTTCGTAAGGGATGCAGCGTTGTGAAGTGGTTAAAAACGGCGTGATAAAATGATGGTGATTCAGTGATTTATCTGTGGTCTATGAACTTTGTAATGGGAAGTGGGCGATTATGTACTGCTCTGAAAACGACGAAGCTCTGACGTCAACTAATATAGTTAAGCTGAAGTCCTAAATTGATAAAGGTAAATAAGATATTAAAGATAGTTTAAAAGGGACACATTCTAAATTTTGGCGAAGAATTGAGGTGAACATTTTCCGAGGTTTTCCGATATAGAATTCTGATTTGCGGTTAGAATTCAGATTTTTTTTTTTGTTTTCGTTTTAAACAATTGATATGAGGATAAATTGTTGTATACTTATTAAACGTTTATTAATAGTGCACCTATTCAATTGAAACAGCTATTTTGAGATATATTATTTAAGTTGTAACCGTTATACATTTATTTGGATTAAGCTTAAATACATATACAATAAAATTCCAGACAAATTATTAATAATACATTTTGATTCCAAATTTTTGTGAATGTTGGCTCCAAAAACCAAATCTTTTGTCTTACTATTCTTTCAGTAAAACCTTGGACTAGAAACTTCTTGTTTATTGAGTTCAACTCTTCTTGGTGAGTTTCTACAAACTGGTGTAAAAATATTCATATATCTATATTATATCTCCATAATATCTTAAAAATATCTCATAAATTATCTCAAAAATATCTTAAAAAATATCTTAAAAAATATCTTAGAAAATTTCTCGAAAATATCTCTAAAATATCTCAATAAACAGCTCAAAAATATCTCAAAAATAACTCAAAAATATTAGACCCGTTGTCATATCCCTGCCCTCTTATATCCTGTAAATTTAAACTCAAATAATTAAGTTCTGAAATTATAATTTCAAACTTTGCTTCCCTGTAAACCTTACAACTGGAAAAAAACCCAAAATATTTTCATTAATTTTAATTTCAACCTCATCATGGAATCAGTTTTATTGATTGAAACATACCTGATTACAAGAGTCATTTACTCCACCTTAGAAATATCAGGAGTGGAATCTAAAATTATCGAATAATATTTTTTTATTTCATTAATAATATAAGATTTTACACTTTGATGCAACAGGTCTATTATCTCGTTTTGAATATTATTCCCAAGATGGTTAGCTTTCGTTTCTTTTTTTAAGCACTCTACGTACGTATTCTTCCATGATGGGATCAAATTCAGATAGCAGCTCAACTATTTTTAAGAAGTTACCGTTATTATACTCAAACAGCTTGTCGTTTGTACCTTGAAATGGAAAGCCAGACAATTTTTACCAAGCATTTTAGTGATTGCTACGATTCTTAAAAGCACTTTTTCAAAATGGTTTATTTCAGCGTTAATAAGTCTTTGGGAATCCGCATCTGTAGTTTTACACTTTAATCTTAGGTTCAGTTCTAGAAAGGATTTCTGGGACTGAATATGATTTTTAGAAATTTCGTGGTCTTTTAGAGTTTGATTCACATACTTCCAACTTTTAAACCCTTCCTTTGAAAGGGAACTAAATACACAACCAAAAATTTTGCAGCAAAATATAAGTACGCAATTTATGAGACAGATTATACTAGCCAGTCTCTTAAAATTTGCTCTCCATCATTTAAAATTGTTTTATAATAATTAGGGCTAAATATTCTACCCGTCTCATCGTATGTCCTGAATTCAAATAACGTATTCATTTTTACCTAGGAGCTCAAATTTTTAAGATATACAATTTTAGAAAAATATAAGTTACATTATTTTAACTCAAATCCGTAAGTGTAGTAAACAAAAGTAAACTCTTAGAAAAAATCGGAATCATAATTGTACCAAATAACATTTTTGAAAATCAGCAAAAAAAACAGAAAAAATAATGGTACAACATCAATAATAAACGTGACAATACAATACTTAGGTTCACCCCCACTCTTCTCAGGGATAAATACAAAAAAATCGATCGTACAAAAAAAAAACAGAATTGTAGGAAATTTAATTTTAAACAACTTTGTTTATAACAATTTTTCTCGTAAAATTGAAAATAAACGAGTTATTCTATAACCAAAAATTCACCCCCTCTTTTCGGGTATAAATCGAAAAAAATCGATCGTACAAAAAAAAGGCAGAATTTTAGGAAATTTAATTTTAAACAACCTTGTTTATAACAATTTTTCTCGTAAAATTGAAAATAAACGAGTTATTCTATAACCAAAAATTCACCCCCTCTTTTCGGGTATAAATCGAAAAAAATCGATCGTACAAAAAAAAGCAGAATTGTAGGAAATTTAATTTTAAATAACTTTTGTAAAAACTATTTTCCGTGTAAAATTAAAAATAAATGAGTTATTCAAGATACAAAAAATAACCCTTTAAATCAAGATGGCGGAGGTAACGACAACTTTGGAATCCCAACTTTTTGAATTTAGACTACCAGAGACCCCCTCCAACGAATTCCGAAGGAAAATTGCTGCTTCGAATTTTTCAGAATCTAAAATACTAATCCGATTGGGCTATATGTGAACATGGCGAACGGCTACTGCTGTCTGGCCGTTTATGATCGACGTCAGAAAACGTTGGCCAATAGCAGAATTCTGTTTTGTTCTACAATATTATAGAATATTTTTGAAGAAGGGATGTAAAGTATTACTATTTTTTGTAGAGAAAATTACTATTTTTTGTAGAGATAATTATTAATATGTGTACAAATTTTTACAGAAGTTAGTAGTAGTAATTACGATAATTGTAATAAATTTCTACTTCTACAAACAATAGTAAAATATACTAAACATTGTGGACTTCTTTCCTATTGTTGTAGCATTTTATTCGACAATCCAATTGCTACAATAATTAATAGTTTTTAACTATAAATTGTAGTAAAATTTAAACATATTGTTCTCTTCTAGCATTTTTATTTGTATTTTTTTTTTTTTTTTTTTCAATAGAAAGATATCTTCTTACATTTTCTCAAAATAAACCGATTCAAATGTTCAAAAAGTGACTACTTACATAATTTTCAAAAAATAAAAAATAAACCGTAAAATTGGTGTACTATGAAACCCATTGCATATTATATAAATATGTCTATATTATTATTACAGAAATGATTTACATAAAACAATAAGGTGTACCTACAAATACGTAAACTTTAATTATCCCTCGTAAAACATCAGTAAAATATTTTGTAAATTGTTTTCATTCACAAATATTAATTTCTTAAAAATCTAACAGTGGCGCCACTTGCCAGACGAAAAATCTTGCAATGTAAGGGTTTCGTAGTACCCCACTTTTAAAGTTTATTTTTAAGTATTTTTAAAAGAAAAAAATATGTACGTGTAGATAAAGGTTAAATCTATGCTCCTCTGCAACCACTTTTTCAAAATACAATTTAGTTTTTTCTAAAAAAAATTGAGAAAATGGATCAAAAAACTCGAGTTTTGTATTTTTTTTTTAGAAAAAACAAATTGAAATTTTGAAAAAGTGTTTCCAGAGGAGCACAGATTTAACCTTTACATACACGCACATAATTTTTTTTTTTAATATGTCAAAAATAAACTTTAAAAGTGGGGGTACTACGAAACCCTTGCATGCTCTGCTCTAAAGACAAGTAAATACTCCTCTTAATGCCGAACCCGTTCATGTTATCGGTTTCAGCTGAAATTTGGTAAACATATCTATACTCAATCACAATGCAAAATTGTGGTGTCCAAAAGTTAAGACGTTTGTGACATATTCATATAATATTTGTTTCGATTCACCACTTGAAATTTGTGCAGAGGTTTTGGACACTCTGTATATATTTGTTAAGATACCAAATTTTTAAACGTACTAAAGGATAAAGTAATATTTTTTTGTTGTATTTATTAGCTATGTACTCTAATCTTGGTGTTAGGCCTTTAAGAAAACAACATAATTGTTTTATTATTATGATAGTATTTAAATACCTTTTCAGAATTTAAATACTTTTGTGTAAGTATTTATCCCAAACAAATATTTAAATAATGTAGGTATTTGTTATTTAAATATCTTTTACTTTAAAAGAGTATTTAAGATTTAAATAACCGTATTTATGAAAAAGTATTGAGTATTTAGTATTTAACAACTTTTAAAAAGTATTTTGCCCAGCTCTGTGCCTAACATATGACGAATTTAATCTGTCACTACATTTTTTGGATTTATTAGTATATTTTTACAGTAGGTATGTCCTTTTTATTAACAAAAATTAAAACCTTTATTAAATTTAGGAATAATAATAATAATATAATAATAATAATAATTAATAATAATACTCTCCCTAATTCACCCCCTTACGAGTGAATTTTAACCCCAAAAGCTGAGTTTCTCCGGGGAAAGGAAGAATTCCTATACATAATTTTAATTTTAGTATCAGAGATCTGAAAATTCAAATTGTAACGAACTTTTCCAAACTAATATTATTCTAGTGAATGATCTTTAAAATCATATTAACTTTTAGGTACACCCTCGGTTTTACAATCGTTTAATCTTAAGGGCTAATGACCATTCAAGCACAAATTCCCACAAGAAAAAAACCAATTAAACCAAACCCACATCATCGACATCCACGTGACCACCATCCGAAATGTCAAACCAAAGAAATAAAATAACAAACCAGACAATAGGACCTGTGGAGCCCTTATCTCGGCACACAATCCCTACGAAATAACGCCCCAGAAACCGCAAGCCACATCCCCTGCGCGTCGGACCAATGATGACAGCTCTGACTTCGAAACACGGGATTACGATTGGCCAGGATTACAACCTCCAATTGAGCTTGTTAAATATAAATTGACTAAAATAATAATGTCAGAAGTCAGTTTATGTGCTTAACTGAAGCTCGTCGCAATTGTTTCATTAAAAAATTATCGGTAAATTGAAATAGATTGCTCTGATTGTTTCGATCAATTAAAAGTATGGAAGGTGCGCCTTTCGACGATCAAAGTTTTAATGATTTCAATAATCAGCCGTTACCTTCATTGGCTTCGACGCTTCTAAACAAAAACCAAGAAAACTTAAACGTGCATTCCATACAGGTGATGCTAGGATTGCAACAGCAGCATGACATGTTCGGAAGCATGGGATCGCCCATGGAATACAAGGGCTCTCCACAGAAACTGGACGGATCGCCGATACACCAAGACCTCGGAATGTACTCACCCGGAATGGAAAACATCAACAATAATTCTAATAGTGCCAAAAGGAAAACTGAAGACGTAGTGTTACTTCAATCACAAAATTTGAGTTCTACGGAAATTGGGAGTACGCAGACAGCGCCGCCTAAGAAGAACGAAAAGAAGAAAAATGATAATGGAGTTAAAAAGAAAAAAACGAGGTAAGTCAAATTTTGCATGGTTCATTTTATTTATCTCGAATGCAAGGTATACCTGGCCATTTTAGGTTCTTTTAAACTATTGGAAGTTACCTACCTATTAAAAAAAATCTGATGTGTCCAACACATGACTTTCCTATCTAGTTATTATAGGCTTTTTGCGGTTGTTTTGTACAACCTATTGCAGCATCTCTATAAATGTTTAGAGGATAAACTAAATATATACATTGTCCACCTCGAAACATTTTTCTATAAATATTCATTGAAAACGAAAATACTGAAAAATTTAAATTTCCTACAATTTTTTCATTACGGTCCATTTTAGAAAAATCATGTATAAACAAACATTATAGAGATCGATATCGCAAACAACTTTTAGTTCAACAATTTTCATAAAAATCAGAATTTTGCACATTCTGTCAAATTTCTCGAATACGGACCATTTCAGGAAATTTTGACATTTAGCACAAATTATAGATAATAATATTAGAAGTAACTTTTATTTGAACAATTTTCTTCTCCAAACATAAATAACAGATATATTCCGTAAAATATAAAAACGGCCTCCCATAAAGTACCCCCTAGATGTTTCGACTTTGTCCAAAATCTAATCATTTCACGTCAGGCCGAAATAAACATTAAGTTTAAAATTTAATGTTTTTTTCTTTATCCGTTTTTGAGTTTTCTTCAAAATTCGAAATTTACACATTTTCTCAAATATCTCGAATACGGTCCATTTTAGAGAAATTATGTATAGAATAAAAATTATAGAGAATTATATTATAAACAACTTTTATTTGAACAATTTTTATAAAAAAATATTTTTTTTACATTTTGTCAAATTTCTCGAATACGGACCATTTTAGAAAAATTTTGTATAGAATAAAAATTATAGATAATTATATTAGAAGTAACTTTTATTTGAAAAATTTTCTTCTTTAAACGTAAATAACAGATATTCCATAAAATATAAAAATGACCACCTATAAAGTACCCCCCCAGATGTTCCGACTCTGCCCAAAATCTAATCAGTTCATTAGACGCTGCAATAAAGCTTAAGTTTAAAATTTGGTGTTTTTCTGTGTATCGATTCATGAGTTATGCGACCTACAGACACACACACACACACACACACACACACACACACACACACACACACACACACACAGACATCATCACGAAAATAGTCAAAACGGATTCAGGGTACTACCTCAAAACGTAAAAATCCGTCGAAAATTCGAAGTCGAAAAAAATCATGATTCCTATACTTTCCTTATATCTGTATACAGATAGGAAAGTAAAAATGAATAAAGTAATTGATTCTTTTTGTGGGAAAAGTTCGTTTAAATAATGTAATTCTTTATTATTACTTATTATAGGTCATTCACTGAATTTACACCCATATCGGATTAAGAAATAAATGAAAGATATGACTAGTCAGTTATATTTTAAACATTTACTCATGGGTGGCGTTATTTTGTATATTGCAAGGGTTTCTTATAGAAACAAAATAAATATAAATTTTAGGTATTTAATTTTGTCTCAGAAAGCTTAAAAGAGTTAGTTACATGATTTTGTTGTTTAATAATAGTTTATTCAGAACGAAAATTTTAATTTACATATACAGTTTTACCCTGCGATTAAGTAAGTACGATGATTAAAAATACCATAACTTTTAAAATTCTATATTAAACAGTGATTATTATAAATAATTGTTTTTTGACATACCTATAAATCTTCAGCATCACTCTCAAAATTTGTGCCACTAGCGTCGCTGTCATCATTAAGGTATATAATTATAGAGTTAATTTCTTTTATCCTGTTTTCACCTGTCCACCAGTCGTCAATTAATTTATCACATTTTTAAACACTTTTTTGCCAAATTTCTGGGGTTGATGTATCTATGGTTAGAAAGATTATATCAATACGAGGAATTTTTCTAAAGGTTTCAATTTTTTACTAAAAAATCGTGAAAAAAATTATCAATTTTTTTTTATCTATTACTTTGGTAGAAAGTTATGCAACAAATTTTTCATAAACATAATTTTTTTTTGTTATCCTGAAAAATGTTTCCTAAGTTGTCTCACATTTTCTTCTCCGAATCTGCATATACGTTGCTTCAGATTCCAAAATGTCTAATTCATTCTTTTATATTATCTGAAAAAATCCAATATGGATACACCGGAGATGAGCATAAACTTTTTCAGACATGGCAACTTTTAAGTTAATTTTTAAATATTTAGAAAATGTCTTCCTTTTTCTTTCTAAAAATGTAGTATTATTTTGTTTTTGTAAACTAAGAAAAGCGATTTACATTTAGAGTAGGTATATAATTATTTTTTTGAAAATTAAGGCTGGGTTTACGGTAAAATTGGCACAAACAAAATGCGTGTAAAAACATCGAACCTAGCCGTTCCAATTCGTTTAAAAAGTAAATCATTTTGTGGGTTCTCAACTTAGTTGAGAATAGCTGAAAGTATAATCTAAGGTGTGATATAATTTATATTCCGAAAATAAATTGAAAAAGTACTCAAATTAATTCTCGAAAATACAATAAATTTATCACACTGATTATTGCAGTCTCATTTAAATATGATCTTAATTAATTTTTAAATTCAACTATATTATAACCTGTTACATGTTTGTAGTATACAGGGGGTACCAATAAAAACTCCCAGACCGGATATTTTAGTAAGCAACAGAGATATTTTAATTCTGTAAAAGACAGTTCATAGATCACTAAGGGTGAGATTACAGAACGTCTGCAACTTTGCAGATATGGCGGCAACTTTGAATATCTGCAAATATGACTGACTTACACATGCAAGTATCAAGTTTTTGTATTCCAAATTTTGGTTTAGTGTTGTTGGGGGTAATAAACCACAATAAATATTGCGAATTTGCAGATATTTTTTGGAATACTTGCATTTGTAAGTCCGCCATATTTGCAGATCTGCAGTATTGCAGATCTACAAAGTTGCAGACGTTCTGTAATCTCACCCTAAGACAGCTTCAGTTTTAGATATAAATTGATTTTAAATAGGTCAATATGTAGATGACTCTACGCTTAATAATTTTTTTTCGATGGGAGGATCTTTCTTGTTCAACGCATCTTGTAAAAATGCAGTTTTATGCAGATTTTGTTCTATGAACTAATTCGATAAATCTAGCCATTTTTGATATACAGAGTAGGTCACTCAAAACAGTTTCATCCTGTTTTTCAGCATTAATCATTGGATTTTAAAAAAATGCTGAAACAGGTCGATTTTTATTCCAAATTAAAAACATTTTTACAATACAGATATATATAATGTGTCAACCCCCTCCTTTTCACTTCTCCAACACCTTAATTTTAAATAGGTAATGTACCATGTATGGCACATCATTGAGAAGGTAATTTAATGAGGGATTCAGAAATATTTCTGTTGATTGCGTTACTTAAATTGTATCGCCCTCTAGCGGGATAAAAAACTACTACGTTTTATAGAGTGTGACACTACAATGTGTAGTAAATCATTAAAAAGGTAATTTTATGGGGAATTTAGAAATAGGACTGTTCATTTCAATATTTTTCATTGTACCGCCCTCTATCGGGATAAAAAAACTGTTCGTATTATAAAGTGTGACACCTTATTTGAAAGCAAATTTAATTACTAATTCAATGCATCACATGACATTAATTAAATATCCTCCATATTGCACTTGCAATAGTTTGAAAATTAATCATGCATTATTTTAAACATTATTGCTAAATTTATTTTGTTGCAAGTGCAATATGGAAATATTTATATTAATCTTATGTGGTGCATTGAATTAGTATTTAAATTAGCTTTTAAATGAAGTGTACATGGTACATTTCTTATTTAAAATTAAGGGGTTGGAGAAGTGAAAGGAAGTGGGTTGACACATGACAGATGTCTGTATAGTAAAAATGTGTACAATTTGAAATAAAAATCGACCTGTTTTAGCATTTTCTAAAAATCCAATGATTAATGCCGAAAAACAGGATGAAACTGTTTTGAGTGACTCACTCTGTATATCAAAAATGGCTAGATTTATCAAATTAGTTTATAATACAAAATATGCTTTAAAATGCATTCTTTATAAGATGCGCTATATAAGAAAGATCCTTCCATCGAAAAAAATATATTGAGCGTAGCGTCATCTACATATTGACCTATTTAAAATTAATTTATATCTAAACCTGAAGCTCTTCTAGCGCTCTATGAACTGGCTTTTATAGAATTTAAATACCTCTATTACTTACCAAATCCGGCCTGGGAGTTTTTATTGGTACACCCTGTATACTGTATAAATATTAATGCTAATGGATATGTAATAACTACATGAGTTTGATTTTGCATTAAAATAATCCGATTTATTAGAGAGTTATTGCAAGTTCACATAAGGTCAGTCATTATTAGTGCCGCTCTTATTTTGACATCTGAGCATGCGCAGATCACTAACTTTAATAAATATTGTGCCTGTCCTTAATAGAGAGATATTGCAAATTTCTATAAAGCCAGCCACTAAACTTTAAATTATAGTTCATCTTTTTTGTTGTCTATAATATTAAAGAGGCATTAGAAATTATAATTTTACAAGGTTTAAATAATGATTATATTAAATATTTAATATTAAAAAACTTCTAACGGATACGAATGTCGGCGAGCGCATCCGAAAACTATACCGTTGCCACTACCTGCTGCCCTTAAACATCCACAATTAAGGACAGGCACAATCCTTAATAAAGTCAGTTTTAGAAAATAAACATCTACCCATGCTTAGATATCAAAATAAGAGCGGCACTAATAGTGACTGACCTTAAGTGAACTTGCAATAACTTTCTTATTAAGGACAGGCACAATCTTTATTAAAGTTAATGATCTGCGCATGCTCAGATGTCAAAATAAGAGCGGCACTAATAGTGACTGACCTTAAGTGAACTTGCAATAACTCTCTATAAATAGTAACTAGATTTTAGTAATAGAGAGTTATTGCAA